CCTCTTTTTTCTTGATTCTTAATTTTATTTTATTGTTATATTTTCTTTCTTTCTTTCGTTTTTTTGCCCTCTTTTTTTTCTTATTCGTTCCTGTACTTTGTACGGGAAGGCTGTTACGCTCGTCCCGATACGACGAATGAAATTGATCCATTATTAACCATGATGAAACAATGATTGAGTTTGAAAAGCGACTTATTTGTATATTTGTAAATTGGTGCGAATAGATCGGACCAAGGTCAATGTATATGTACATGTCTTTCATTTCCTCGCTCGTAATTAGTTGCAATCAAACGCGACGTGCTATTCATTTTTCATTCATAAGGAATGACGCGCGTTTACATTGTAGCGAGACTCGAATTGACCGCAAAGCAATGCATAGAAAAGATACGTGCCTTCCTTTGCGTCTTTTCCGACTATTTTTGATCGTTTACATCTCGAAAAAAAGAAATTTGTTACTTTTGAAAATTGTGTAGCTGTGCCCTACTATCTCGAATGTGTATCTTATGCATGATATCGGAATATTTTCCAGTTGTTCCAATTGTATTTCGAATTCGCTTTCGTTGTAAAGCAAAAGATAAAACTAGTATGGAATTTTTCATTTGTTTTTTTAATGTCTGCTTTGAAATGTTAGCGACATTTATTTGGAAAAAGAAACAACAAAAAAAAAAAAAACAAACAAACGTATTCGATCATACAAATATATTAACCACTGTGTCGTGCTTTTATAGGGAATTTTTTACGTGACACGTTTTACTCTACGAACGTGATCTAGGTAATATTACGGTTAACGCGCGTTTTAATTATTATTCGTTTTTCTAGCATGTATTCGTTGCTGAAAGATTATGTAGCTTGTGTTCAATGATTATTTGCCACTTATATGGAATTGGCAGCTCATGTGCATTATGATAGTGTGTCCATGTAATGTGTGTGATTGATGATGACGTTATAGAAATTTTGAGAAGTTTATCGATATAGTGAGGAGACGTTGTGCTTTGAGAAACAGAAACAAATCGGATATCGATTAATTTTTGTAAATAGAAATTATTGGAATGGATAGAAGTACGCACACGGTGACATGAGAAGTTAAACAAAAAAAAAAAAAATGTAAAGTGTCAGATATGAGGAGATGTATCAGCTTCAAATTATATATATACATACATATATATGTATATGTAGATATATAGATATGTATATACATACATACATATATATATACATACATACATATATATATACACATATATACATAAACTATATCAATAATGGCGATTAACAAGCTGTATTATTACTATGGTAATTACCACTGTCACGCGACGGCAGCGATCGACTAATTTTATTACCACGTAATCTTAACGATGCCAGTGAGAGAAGTGGATGTGTTCTTTGCGACGAAATCGGACGAAGAAGCATGAAATCGCTAATGAATTATTCCATTTGCTAATTTATAAAGACAATTTAAACAAAATATCGAGATGCTTCGAAGTGTTTTGTCCATTTCGTACATGTCTACAAACACAAAGACAGGATGTCTGAAGTTTTCGAGCGAGAATATTCTATTATTAATGAAAAACGAAATTGTTCACTTTTAACGTGCTTTTGTTATTATATTAGTGGATTCGTTTTCTTTCCACTTATGAAACCAATAATCTATTAAAGATAAAAAAAAAATGAAGATTAATGTACATAGAAATTAAATTGTTTGAGTACTATTTCGATGGATTCTGTGTTTACGCTAGCAAAGCGTAAGAATACGACGGGCGGAGAGCGGTTTGCATCCTAATGGTGAAAAAACACGAGACTGAAAGACACACCGGACCATAAAAATTTAACGTGTTATATTCACGCGATATAAAAAAGAACGCAATATAATTTATCAAGCGGAATCATGTTTTCATTAGTTTTGTCAACAAATGTGCACCTCTCTCCCCTATATAATACATTTCTATCGTATTTGTAAGCTGTGATTGAAATCCTATCTTTTAACTCGTAATCACCGGCTTACGAACTGTT